GTCTACTTAATTTTCGTAAGTGCTTAATTATTATTTAATGGCTTAATTATTTTCTTAAATGTTTAATTTATAATGGCTTATCTATTCTTATTTTTTTTAGTTGCTTGTTTGCTCGTGTATTGATTTTCTAAGTTAAGTTATGTCGGCCCCTTTTTATTTTGAAGCCTATTTTCATTTTAAGTCTAAGTTCTAAAGTTATATTTTTTTTTCCTAAGGATATTGCATGTCTCGGCAACACTTAGTCTTTTAAGTGTTTGAAATTCAATAGCCAAGCCATATATAAGTCCTTAGCTTCTCAACTTCAGCCCCTAAATTTCGGACGTCCATCACCCTGCTATCTATGCACCTGATCAGGTCATCAAACAGGGGAAGAAAATTTTGAATTGTTCTTCAACCACCTCTAAGAGATTAGGACCTGATCCCTCTCAAACTCCCACGCACACGCCAACGTTCAGCTCTTCCTCCTTCACCCTAATTCCACCTATATAAACCCTCAAGCACCATCAGCCATCATTTGGCGTTCTTCGAGAATATCACAGAAAAACAAATAAATAAATAAAAAAATCCCAACCCTAAGCCATCCCTCAGCCATAGCAAAGTGCAGCAGCCGCACAGACATACCGTCGGAAGCCGTCTTCACGCGAAGCCGGTGACCTGAGTAGAAAAGAATCGAGAGACGTGAATTTCGAGCCACTTCCTAACATTTTCAGAGGGCCTTAAGTCAAGCCAAACCAAACCTGAAGCCGAGAGGCCGTAACCATCAACCGAAGCCGAGACCTAGCCCGTTCGAGCCTTATTTTGTCCTGTACCTTTAAGTCCATTTTTCAAGGTAATAAAAGCTGAACCTTTTAGCCTTAAAAGTGGTCGAGTTTATGTGTTTTTATTATTGTAGTTTCAGTTTTGATAGAAAGTATAATGGCATGCTAGGGACTTGCTAGAATTGATTAAGATATGAGTTGATTATTGTGAGGCTTCGACCTTGTTGTTACTACCTTGTTGCTGAGACGTTTAGGAGTGATTTATAGGCTGAAATTGCTTGATTTTCATAGCATTCATTTCAGTTTATAAGGCCCTTTTTTTGTGTTGCCTAAATTCAAGAAAAAGGGGAGGGAAAAGAAATGCATGATGTATGTTGTTCGATCATTTATGTTGTAAGGTTACTGAAGCCTTTTCATTTAATTAATATGCTGAGAATCTCATGAAGTTTCATAGCATGATTTAAGTTCTTAATTCCTTAAATTTTGCGGCCTTGAGTATGTGTAATTATTGTTCAGAAATAGAAGGAAAAAGAAAATGAAAGGATGCATGTTGTGATGTATTCTGACCTCATTTTTTTTACTGTGACTTGGTTGTGCCTTTCTTGCGTATTAGATATAGCTATATGTGATATATATTCGCAGGTTTAGGTTCATCCTTTTGAAGATTTAATTTTCTGTTGAGTGCTGCCACATTTTTCTTAGGTTGTATATTTAAAACCCATATTATATTGGCTGCTTGTTTTATTTGGTTAGAAGGGTACATTTGAGATGTTGTAGGAAATAATTCACTTATCAATCATGATGAGTGCCTGCCAATATGCATTTTGAGTTTAGGATATTAATTGAAATATTGCACCTAGCATTTGTGAGTTAAATTTGATGTTATCTAAGTTTAGTTTTATTCAAAAAAAATGTGGTTTAAGAAAAGAAAAGAAGTTATAAAGTTTATATGATATTTGTATTTGCTTATATTTTAACTGAATTATATGCTCTTATCTGATGTTCGTGTTTTTCGTGTTTTAATTATGTACTTTGCATTTTAATCAAAATCCTAATAATAAGACTTAATAATCAAAATCCAGATTAAGAGGAGTCGAGCCCTCATTCAGAAGCACGTGCATTTTCATCCAGTCAGTAAG